CGAGTGATCTCCATCACCGACTCTCCATCCTGCCTCAATGTCAAAAACTCATGAGCAAGCCGCTCCCGCTCCACGCGTGGAACGTAGCGGGTGCGAAACATATCCCTGAACTGCTCCCAAGTAATAGCAGCTCTCTGATCATCGGTGTACGACCCAGTCGTCAGTCTCCACCAGTCCTTGGCCCCAAGCCTCAACAGGTTCAGGGCACACCTGACCTTCTGGTCAGTAGGACAAGAGCACGTGAAGAAACAGCCCTCCACGTCAGATAACCACCTCATAGCCCTGATCGCATCCTGTGTACCATAAAACATCGGGGGCTTCATATTATCTAAGTCCCGGTACTGGAAAGCCCGGCTGGCTCCTCCTCCAGCCCATGCCGATGTTACAGCCGACGTGGCTGCAGCGGCAGCCGTCTCTACTAAGGCTGCATAACGCTCATCAAAGTACTCGACCATAGCGGTCTTGATCGATCCAAACATCTCTGGTAGTTGCGCTCGGAACGCAGCAGCAATCTCATAATGCATGATCTCCCGAATCTTGGCATCCAACTCCTCTGTCCCTATCTGCACCATGGGCTCAGGTGCTATAGGCTCATCCGGGCCTCCGCCCCCTGATCCTGATCCTGATCCTGATTCGGTCGTAAAACGTCTCGTCATCACCATACTGAAAATATGCCCAAGACGTCAGATAAACAACATAATATCGGGAGACCAATTCCCACAAACACTAGGGGTTGTGACTTCCTTGCTACGCGTATGGGTCCTGTGCTTCCAGTAGTATGGGCCCATACTACCTTCCACACCTACCCATATTTGTCTCAAGTATCACCACAACGCCCTAACAATAGACATCACCATAGCAAGCGCTCAACCCTCACTCCTAGAGGAATGTGAAACTATCTCACAACTGGCCTCACGGCTTCTCCCGACCCATCCATCCATGAAACTTCCACCAACCCTGCAGCATTAGTGTATGCTAGCCACACATAACGTTGGACCCGATAGACTTTCGAATATCCAATCCTACCCTAAGGTCGAATCAAACATTCTCAGGCTATAGATCTTGATTATGCACAGCCGTGATGCTTACACTAAACAGCTACAGTAATGATGTCAATTCCATATAAAAGAAACCCTAGGCTAGTAGGCATCATATAATCAGACAAGTCTATCATGCAATTCCTGAAGATCCCTAGCCTAACGCTAGCATGCTATTCTAACAGATCATAATATCAAATAACTGTATGGTATTTTGGGGTCTACTTACTGGCTCCGGCTGATCGTACACTCTGCATCCTCCATCGCTTATTTTGAAAACCACTTTAGAATTTATTCTAAAAATTTCCTTGATTTGAGATTGGATTCACACGAGTGTTCCTCCAATTCACTCAAACCAAGGCTCTGATACCAACTTCTAACATCCCAAAAATTTTAAGCCAAATTTAAACTTTTTCAACCATAAACCAAATAGTGTTTTACAAAATGTTTTCAAAATATTATTCATCAGAGTGTCCCAAAAGTATAATCATATGGATGAGGAGTAGTACGGTCAAGCCTTCGCCTTGCCACGATCTCCGGAAGTACCTGAAACAATAAACTGAACTGTAAGCCCGAGGGCTTAGTGAGCTACCCCAAAATACCAATACCACACCGATAATACCATATCAATAACAGATAATCAACAACATGCATATTGGGCCTTCGGCCTGACTGGACCGCCCAACCGGGCCTTCAGTCTATCTGGATCTATCCCGAGCCTTCGGTATGACTGGACCACCATACGGGTCCACAGTCTACCGGACGCTCGTAGGGTATGTTGGCCTTCAGCACAAAGCAGGACCGCCTCAACCCAAACATCAAGCAAAACCATGTGCACAAGACTAACATATGCTAGCATATACATACATCAGATATAACTATCTCCCATATCATCGATCATAGCCATCTCTCCTAACCAGAGCACCGACCTAACCAGGTCACTAACATACCAATCCTAACGGATCATAAGAGCATAACAACATATTGTCTATCCTGTTACCGATCTAACAGATCATAACCACATGTAGCATACTGTAACCAAGATAACAACTAAAATGGTCGGCCTTGGTGCCTTAGACCCTATTGATATAGTGAGGATAACTCACCTTGCTAGTAGCTCGGAATGATACTGTCCACACCTCCCGATATAGCTCTAACCACCTCGCCTGTACCCATCAGTGGTCCACTCAATAATTACTCAAATTACCAAAATGCCCTTAGGAGGTACAAGACATCCCACAATTAAGTCAAGTCTCTGGTCCATGGTTAACAGTCCATGTTGACCTGTTTGCTGAATATAACTTTCTCTGCTTCGAGCCCCTCTTGATTCTAGAATTTCTCGACTCGACTCGCCGAGTCTCTAGCAGACTCGCCGAGTCCCCATGCCGACTCGCCGAGTTACTCATTAAATGACGTGTCCTGACCCGCTGCTACTCGATGAGTCACAACGTCAACTCGTCGAGTAGACCTTAACACATGAAATCTAAATGGAATAATAATGATACCTGACGGTTGGGATGCTACAATTGTCACGTAAATATCATTGCATAAAGAAGATTTCACTTCTGGAAGGCTGTATAGATTCCAATCTATTAGAGATAATATTACATAGGTACAACCTTCCTAGAAAGCTATGTAGATTCCTATAATTAAGGATTCTTGGTTCAAAGTGGCAAGGAGTGGCAGTTGTTGATGAGGTCTAATTTTCTCGTGCAGTTTAGGAAAATTACGGTCATCTAATTTAGGATTCAAAAGCAGTTACAACACCAAGTAACCTTCATGAAGATTGGGTACTGCCCCTTTTGAAACAGGTGTAAGGAAACTGTTCAATTTCTTCATTGAAGGTTGGTATAATCTGAGGGGTTATAGTAGTTCTCTATTTAACTCCTATATAAATTAAGCCATTTTTTGCATTATCATTGCTATCGGCTTATTACCTTGACAACATTTTATAGGAAATAGAAAGAAAGCAAAGAAACATATAGGATAACTTCTTGTGCTGTCAAAAGTGGGAGTTAATTAAATAATCCATACTAACTAAAAATTAATAAAGACATTTACCAAACCATGAAATATAATCTCTCAGGTGCTTTTATAAAGGAATATCAAGTGCCCTTCTATACCCTTAAAAAAATGCAATCAGGTAGGTTTTTTTGAAGAAAAATACTGCCCATTTTATGTCCTGGAATTTCAGTGGTCAACAATTTACGAGCAACCAATGACGAAAAACTCTCAATAATCTATTTGAATAATCTATTTTCTAATGTTGTAGTAGGTAAAAATACTTAGAATTGACATTATGTTTTGGCAAAAAAGATATTGAAATTACAACCTAGAACATCAATGTTAATCCTGAACGGAAACCTCTAAAATAAAATCGAGTTTGCGAGATTGGAGAAAAAAGGAAAATTTCGAATAGATTTTATCGGGGCAACAAAATCTGGCCATTAGATTAACAGTAAGAAGTTAAAAAACTTGAAATCAAATTAGGGTTCTTATAGATAACATACCAATGGGAAGAAGATCACAATTTTTTCGTTCTTCTTTGATTGCAACTAAAACATTTGCGGTCAACAATCATGAAATTTTTTGTTGATCACATAATCAAGGTTTTCCGATTGGCTTTTTGTTGGAGAGGAACCGGTAAATTGCGAAAGGAAGGTGTTCAAAGGGATACGACGATCATGAAAATATAATCGACATTTTAGAAGGATTTAAGCGACATGTTTTTATGTTGCGTCCTTCCAGGACTAGGTTATGTGGAGGTAATTGAACCCTATGAATTTTTTCTAAACGACACCGGATAAAAAGGTTTTTTATATATAATGATATATATATATATATATATTGGAAACGACAAACGAATTAAGTGGAAACCTACTCGTAATATTTCAACGAGCACTCCGTGTTCGGGCTCCTTTATAGGGCAAACCCAGCCCTCATAGGGATTTTCAGGGAAAAATTCTCCACATATGACACCACAAGAGATAGTTTAAGGGAATCGAACTCTTAACCCCACGCCCCACATGAGTATAAAATCTGGTGCATCAACCCAGCTAGGTTGGACATCACTTGCTATATATATATATATATATATATATATATATATATATATATATATCCGGTAAGAAGGAAATTTTTGGTAGGAAGGTAAGATGTTTTTTTTCTATATATTTTTTGACGAACAAAATAAATGAATCACTAGATGATTCACAAGAAAAAATTTCCAAAAAAAACATCTTTATGATTCATTTTGAAGTAAATTAAGAAAAAATTCACTTTTATGACAATTTTAGTGAATAACAACAAAATCATTGTATAAATGAATCATCGAGATGTTTTTTTGAGAATTTTTTCTTGTGAATCATCTTACAAATGAATCATCTAATGATTCATTTTGTTTGTTCGCGAAAAAAATATGTAGAAAAAAAACTTCTTACCTTCCTATCAAAAATTTCCTTCTTATTTGATCTTGACTCTATATATATATATATATATATATATATATATATATATATATATATATATATATATATATATATATATATAGGGAGAGAGAGAGAGCTAGGTTCAAGTATTCTAAGTAATTATTGTGTGGATGTAGCAATCAATGTGAGTGAATCATTTCAAAAATCTGATTAGGGATATAATAGTAATCTTGGCTACACTTAATCATCGTAAACATTTAAAATCCTTTAAATTAGGGATTTAGTTTCTCAACCTTTCAAAACCACGGATCCCTTATCACCATCATCACACGTCGTCGCCCGATTTAAGGATTTATAATGAAAACTCGATTTCATGATTCTTTTTTCTTTCTTCTACCCACTGATCTCCTGCACCATCATCTTCATCGGCATGATTGCGTGAATTCTAATCGATTTACAATCAGCTCCAGATCTCCCATGATCTATTATTACACAGAAACTCGTGAACTCCTTAATCTCGAAGATTCATCCCTATATGACGCCGTTAATGAAGGCGCTGATGTTTTGGATCAACGACAACCGCTTCAAGATCGTCAGCCAGCTCGGCGAGGGAGGTTTTGCATACGTCTTCCTTGTTAGGAAGGCCTTCACTGAAGCTTCAGCCGGTAGCGCCTCTAAGAAGTTCAAAGACCCCTCTCACATCTCCGGTAAATAGAAATCCCCGAATTTAAGATTCCATTTTTAGGGTCTCAAAGTATCTGCATTGCATCTGTTTATTTCATTGTAGTTACGAATTAATTTGATCTCCAGAGGATGGCACATATGCGATGAAGAAAGTTTTGAGTCAAAATAATGATCAACTGGAGCTCGTGATTGAAGAGATTCATGTATCTTCCCTGTTTAGCCACCCGGATCTGATTCCATTATTGGATCATGCCATTATTCTATTAAAGGTAGCTTATTTCTATCCACAATCAGATCAGTGATCGTATAAAATCATCTATTTTCATTTCACCTAATCAAAATTTGTTGAGTGTGATTGAGCAAATAATTTTTTGTTTGTTAATATGATTCTATTCTATTGGGCAGGCCACATCAGAACAACCTTGGACACATGAAGCATACTTATTGTTTCCACTTCATCTGGATGGGATTTTTTTGGACAATTCAACAACAATGAAATCTAAAAAACAAATTTTTTTTTTACATCTGATGTTCTCCATATTTTCCGACAGGTAACTTTCAACCACGACTTCTCACTCCCTGTTTCATGTACTACCGGACAAGTATTCTAGGTTTATTAAATTTTGATGTTGTTTTCCACTTGTTTTGAGTGGGGACAAAAAACTGTAATTAATTTGATTGTTCATTTTTTTCATCTTCTTTGATTTTAAAACACTTTCTAGGTTAGATTTGGATTTGGGGTTTCTTGAACTCTATATGTTTGATATGTTTCTTTATGTCTACAATTTTGTATGGTACTATCCAAGTGGTAAATTTGGTAACTTAGTGATCATGACATATGTAAAAAAAAAATTGAACCTATTTTTACTATCTAGTCATGTAGCAACATGTTTCATAATAACTATCTAGTCATGTAGCAACATGTTTCATTTATTATGTTATTGTAGTTGAAGATGGCAATTTTTTCATTTTCCTTGTATTTTGGAACAATGATTATTAAAATTCAACATTACATTGTTTTATTTTGGTTTGCATATTAAATATCTCAACAAAATTTTTATGATTCCAACTAGAAATTCTCATGCTTAAGCAAATTGTAATTTTTTTTTTGTGTACAGGCATTGCTGAAGCAAGGTTTAAGAAGGTTATAAATTCTTATAAAGCTATAAATGCTGAAAGAAATATCAGCAAGTAAAGAAAAAGAAGCTTGGTGAAGAATGAAAACTCGGGTTGAAGCCTGGTGGTGGAGAATGAAAAGTGAGGCAACAATATTCGTTCATAATGGATTATCATTTTTTTTCTGTCAGAATGATCAGCAACAATAATCTATTAGAATGTATTAGTATTTTACTTAGATTTCAATGTTTTAATTTGATTTTTAACCATTCTCGGCTTTTATTCTTAAAGAATAAATGTAATTGTTAACCATTATTACTTATATTCTTTCAGAATGAATGTCATTTATGTATGTTCATAGTTGTATTTGTTAAGAATGAATGTAATTACTGATTTTAAGATATTAAAATTCTTTTCATATAAAATTTGTATTCATTAAAAATTATTAATTTTGATCATATATGTTTATAGTATTTTGTTAGAATTTAATATTTTTTTCAAGATAATCATAAACACATTCTTTTAGAATGTTCGAATTAAATATATTTATTATCCAAAAAATCTGATTTTTAAAGTTTAGAGAATTAATTATTCCTTAAAATATGCAATTTTTCTTTTTAAAATTTATTTTAATTGACTAAAGTAATCTTAAAATGAAATTAGATGGTATTTTTTAATTATCTTTAATTTAATATTATGTATTAATCACTTTCTTAAAATAAGTAAAATGATTGGCCCACAATCATTCCTACATCCACACAACAATTAGTTAGAATACAATAACCTAAGCGTGTATATATATATATATATATATATATATATATATATATATATATATATATATGGTGTGTGTGTGTGTATATATATATATATATATATATATATATATGTGTGTGTGTGTATATATATATATATATATATATATATATATATATATATATATAATAAGATAAAAAAAACTTGTTCCTTTAGGAACAGTGTTTGTTTTTCATTGGTTGTTTTTTTAATTCTATCCATCTTTTTCTGTGGCTGGGGTAGTCAATGTTTGTTGCGTGTCCTGGTCTTGCGAAGAGATGAAACGTGTTATCGAGTTACCTTGTACAGAGGTTTACTTCCCGATCCTTCCACCACCGCTCACTTTTATCTTGCCCTGTCCATCCACCGTCTTCCTTTTATATCTGTTGCTCCAAGTTCCATCCAAACACAGTTCCCTTTGTATCCTTCAAGCCAAGATTTCTTATGCGCTTCCAGTCAGAGGTAGAGGGAAACGACGGATGCTCCTCATCGCCCGTCGATGCTTCCTCGAGTTTTGGATGTGCTCCACAAAATGTTTTCTTATTTTCTAGGGTTTTTGTACCACCACCGGAGCACCATCGAAGCAACTCACCACCATCTCAACAATCATCGCATGTCGTCGTTCCATGCCCGGACCGACAACGAGACTACCAAATTTCTCAACAAACGAATCCTAAACCTTACTTCACAGAAGAAATTGACCAGGTTTGTTTTTTATATTTTTTTGGTTTTTCTTTTCTTTTCGTCTCTCACCACGTTCCAGATTGACCACCGAACAACCATTTCCATTTGTTTTGTTAAAACACAAACTCTATAATTTAGAGTCTTTATGATTTATGCAATTTCTTATGTTTATTGTAGATGGTCTTTGAAACTTTTGGGGTTATGCTATTTTTCCTAAATCAAAAGCAACAACATCACCAATACCATCAAAAGCAGTTTTTGGGTTTTGATTTGGTCTCTTTTGATTCTGTTTTAAGGTATTTCTCAATTTCTTTACTTATTTGTTCTTCTTTGCTTCTAATGCATAAATAATGCATGCAAACTGTTTGTGGAAATGCCCAAGTGAAACTGATATGAGATTATGAGTTTTTGTGATGAATTAAACTGATTATTGGCGACTCCAAACCCAAGTAGAGTTTTGGAAATATCGATGGGCTTTCATGATTTTAATTAGATGTTGTAATTGCAGATCTGAATGAGTGTGTTCGTATGCTTAATCGATTTGATCTCAATGGTGATGGAGTTCTTGTTTGTTTGAAATTGTAGTTTTAATGGGAGTCGATATGGGTTTGATGCTTTGACGATGATACAAAATTTGATAGGTATGTGTTTTAATTAAAGAAAATCGAGAAGTACATGTGATGTTTATGTTGGTCAAAATTTGAACAATCTGGTCAAACCAATTAATTGTCTCATTTTCGTTTTAATGTTTTTGAAGAAAGTTACATTTAAGCCCCTCCAAAGATGAAAGGACAAAAATTCCCCCAATATGGGGTTGCTAACAGCTAAACAAACGGAGAAGTTAATAGAGGGACTGGGCGGGTAACAAATTAAAGTTTCAGGGATGGTCCGAATGAAAAAAACTTTCTAGGGACCAAACGTGCAAGTAACCCGTAACTACAGGGACCATCCGTGTAATTTTCTCTTTTTTTAATTTTTTTGTTTATTTAATTACTTTTATAAATAAAAGAAAAATAAAAAAGAAAATACCTCTCTCTCTCTCTCTTATATGAACACCCTCTTTTTCGGCGAATATAAACAACACCACCAGAAAATTTACTGAAAACCCTCGTGTTTCCGGCGTATAAACAACACCACCACCACCGCTGAGGTTATCGACTTTGTATGGAAACTCGAGCCAGAAACGATTTCGTCTGAAATGACTTTATCTCCTTCACCATCTTCATCTTCATCTGGTTCCTTCTCCGGCGAGTTTTGTATCCCTAAGATCCGACGACTAGTTAGGGTTTTCAGATCTGACAAGTTAGATTTTCTTGGCCAACGAGTTAGGATTTGGTCGTCGTCCTCCTATTCTTCACTGAAAATACCTCTTCTCAATAGTTGGAACTGCATGTTATAGCAAACCATAGTGTCGTCGTCTGTCATAGCAAACCCTAGCGTCGTTTTCCGTCTCTCTCTCTCACAAGTTTGTTTTTCGTTTTTCGTCTTGTAGTGATGATGATTATGATGGCATGTGCGGAATTAGAAAGATCTAGTGAATCATCATACAAATCATGAACACATGGAGTAAATAAATATTATAAGCTCTCATTAGTTGAATTAGAAAGAGTATAAATGTGTTTGTAATGAAAACTCTCTCTAAAACTAATGCTCTCCAAATCTTCCTAACAAGGTCTTACATAATGGGAGTCACTCACTTCCTATTTATAGGAAAGACTCAACTCATTTACACATACAAGAGGGTAAGCCATAAGACTCCACATCCAAGCATGACTTTGCACCTTAACATTCTCCCCCTCAAAGTTAGGATGGGATGTACCGACTTCAATATCCAACGGGCTCGCGCGATCAAGACCAAACTCCCCCTCGAAGTAACACCGATCTTCAAATCCGCAATTAAATACCAGAAAAACCCGAGAAGCTTCGAATACCCACTTTTCATTCTCCCCATTTTTATAACCAAAAAATGATTATAAAACTCATTAAGGGTGAGAAGCACCCGAGGATTAATCTTCACAAAACTCCCCCTTTGATGTGTGCCAAAAATGAAACACCGAAAAACTTGCATGGAAAAACAATCACGAAAATTTCCAAAATCCGGGTAAAAACTGTCACTTTCTGAATTCTGCAGGGACCCGTTGCCCCAAAAACAGCTTAAAATGCGAAACACTCCCCCATTTGCGAAACTGGGCATAAAGTGTAACTTCGCATTAACTGTAGGGACTAAACTCGTAAAATCTTCCATTTCTTAGCTTTATTTCCGCAATTTCGAAGTTGGATTATTTTTGCCAATATTTCGAAACTGCAGGGATACACTTCGAAACTTTTGCATTCTTCACATTTTTTTCACCATTTCAAAATGGGTTTAAATTTGCCATATCTTCAAAACATTAGGGACCAAATTCGAAACGTGTGTTTGTTTTCTTCCCCAATTAGTTATACCAGTTACGAAACATCAAACTATTTCGAAATTAACATTTCGAAATCAACTCCCCATCTCAGGTTACCTATTTCGAAACTTGCTTGTTTTTTTTCTTCCCAATTCGTGATACAAGTTAGGAAGTTACTGTTGATTTGTTTATCCTATCAAGCATATAGCCATTGACATTTATAATCGACTCCAAGCTTTCAATTTCCCAGACTTCGTTCTCAATCGACTCCAACTATTCAAGTTTTCGTTACTCAACAATCAAGCCTTCCAAGTGAAGTCGACATAACCATTCGATTATGTCTTCAACCATTCGACTGTAAAACCAACCCAATAACAAGTCTTCGCACATCAACCCCAGATCAACAATCGAATACTCAAAATGATTCGTCATTCGTTTTCTCAACCTATCAATTACCCAAGTAAAACACTCGATGTCGAATCCCAGTGACATCAAACTCGTCACATCGATGCTCGACTAGACATCGATTCTCATGAACTAACCTTCGAAACACATTTCAATACTTTGAAATTTCAATTCCAAGTATCAAACCCAAATCGGTATCAAACCCAAATCGATTTCCCATAGCGAACCTTAGTTCGATTTCTAAATCGATTAATCAAAAGAGAAGGCACATCGACATCCAAACCCATTCGATTCCAAGAACATAAAACACACGTCGATTCCAACATCAAAAATCGAATTCAACTGCTAACCCCAAATCGAGTTCGATTTCAATACCATAAACCATTTCGATGTAACCTGAACTCGATTTCAACTTATAAACAACACAATTTCGAATCAACGTTCACTGAAGGAAAGCCAAATAATCAATTTTGAATCAATTTTGACTTTCGAGGTTCACTTTTCTTTCGAATCGACTCCAAAAGAAACTCAAATCAGAAAAATCGATTTGAACATGTTTGATCAAAGAATCGTGGATTAAAATTGACGACATCGAAGAAAACAAGAAGTAATAAGTCGATGATTAAAGAACCGATAGATTTAGGCTTTCATATGAATCAATGAATAGTAATGGGTTAAAAATATTTCAATTGGGCTAAAATGATACGGATCAAAGAAAAGAAAATATAATAAAAGTTT